AAAAATGATGTAATTTGAATATAAATTATTTATAAATACGTATGTCAAGTTATATTTTTATTACTACGTAAAATATATTTAAGAGTTTACGACCCAGTCCCATATATTTAAGAGTTTACAACAACCATATTACGACCCATATATTTAAGAGTTTACAACAACGTCTCACCCAGCACAGTGCTGGGTGAGACGTTGTTGAAACAAAATAAGTTATGCATTCCGTCACGTACATAAACAGTGTCGTAATTCGCCAAGTGCAAATCAGCAAATTCGTAAAATTTTTGTTTATTTTGAACAATCCGGATAATCGAAAATCCGGATAATGGAGGTCCGGATAATNTCCATCACGTACATAAACAGTGTCGTAATTCGCCAAGTGCAAATCAGCAAATTCGTAAAATTTTTGTTTATTTTGAACAATCCGGATAATCGAAAATCCGAATAATAGAGGTCCGGATAATGGAGGTTCTACTGTACCTACTGTAAACAAACATTTTGTCGATATCAATCCTTCAAAGATTTTCATCCATCGATCACAATCAGAAGTGGCTAGACACATGTTGACCAATTAAACCTCTTTCTCTGTACGTGTTAAAGTAGATCAAGAGTGTCACAACAATTTAAAAATTACCAAGGTAATACTTAGACAAATTATTATAGCCTAGTTTAACATTTTTACATAGCCATTTAAATTATTTCTGTCGTTTAAACATAGTTTGTCAAAAATTATTATTAAAATTGTGGGGGCCGAGGGGGGAGAAATTTAAAAAACTCGACGAACGATAACATGTGATATATATCGTCATCGTCTCCCTTGCCGTTTGGACTGCCGAGCGGTAACAATCAACGACATGTGGAAGCAGTTGAGTCAGAGATAGATGTTTCGTTTACAAACAACGCAACCGTTTATTAAACACGAAAGAAGCTTACAAGATTTCTGCGATCTTGGAAGTTCTGCGGCCTCTGGGTCTTCCTCTCCTTTCCAAGCTAGTCCCATTTTGAAGGAGTGTCCCTTGTTCGCAAATGAACAATTCCATCACGTCTCGACGACTCCGGGACGATGCGGTCGACTTCCATTGATGGAAAGATGTCGATCCGAGGTCAGGAGATGGAGACGAAGATGGGTGCGAGACACACACACAACAACAACAGATCCGTCACTTGGAACTTTCGGGAGAAGCTGTCGCGTCCTCGAATTTCCAGGGTTTTATCCGTTTTCTCTCAGATTCCCCCTTTCCAATTGGTCTCTCCTTGTCACCTGATGACAATTCGAAACCTTTCGAGGGTGCGGGAGAGGTCAAAATCGAAGTTTAATTCGATCTCCAACCGGAAATGGTTGACGGACTTACATTCTTCTATTGTTTAAAAGTTAGCGTCGCGTTTTCATAAAATAAATCTATTTCTAACTACTATATTATTTTCTCTAAAACAATTATTTTAACGTGAATTTTAATGAGGGTTCGGACCTGTCCAGAGCCTCACAAAATGCACACAAAATATACAGTATTTATAATTATGTAGTTGAATATTCTTTATAAATTCTGTGAATGCTTCTTTCTGATATGCCTGTTATCTTTGTTACCATTTTCACTATATCATTCACACAGATTTCTGAATTCATGTCAGTTAAAGAATTAAACAAATTTAACATTTTATCTGAGCTCCTTGATGGTTTTCGTTGTCAATGTTTAACTGTACTTACATTTAAGTTTTCCATTTTTGTAATTTGACAATGCACAAAGCTTGAAATAACAATAACTATTGTAATGAATGGAAAACAAAACCAAAACCAGTTTATTTTTAATGATTCAGAATGTGCAAATATTCATTAAAAATAACAATTTAACATATGAAATAGCAACAATTATAAATGTAGTTAAGTGACCGGAATTTGATTAATGATTTTATAAATAATGAGGAACTAATTTCTGCGGACGAATGATATGCAACACTGTTTCTAATTGATGGATGTAGGTTTAAACCAATAAAAAAAAAAACGGGGTGTCATAGTTTGTTTATGGTAGGCGACAACTTATGATAAATAGGCTATAGATATTTGTGTACGTTTTGGAAATTTCATCTCTCGTCTTTCTTCCACATTTGTTGGATATTTTATATGTATAATTGATTTGCCATCGACTACATTTAAGTCCTTCCTTAAATCATATTTCTGTTTCCAGTGTGTTTCTGTCCACTCCTGTTTAAGTGAATTCTGTTTTGAGCAAATGTACAAAACTCGATTCTCATTTTGCATTTTATGAAAAAAAATCAAGATGTGAATGGAAATTAACTCTGTACAGAGATATTTCTGTAAGTGCAAAGTAAAGGTAGATACATGCTAGACTTTTCTGCCCAAACATATATCACTTTTCTGTTTTCTGTTCCCAAATGGTGATACTTTAGAAGACCAAATGGGTGGCACCGTCTAGAAACTTGGCATCCTCTTTTCTGTTGTATTGTTTGAATAATAGGGTGTCCACGAGCCATATTGTGTACGTTTTGGAAATTTCGTCTCTCGTCTTTCTTCCATTTAGACTGATGGCTTGTGAGGAGTACAGAAATGGAGGTCAAACAGGAGTGTTTTTGGCACTCTGTTGGCAATAAATAATATAATTTTTCTGTTGGAGTGCATTATTCCATTCAGAAAAAATTTAGCGTGTATCTCGAGTCCAAATAACTCTAATTGTGTCGGTCTATAGAGATTGGATTTAAACGAGAACTTAATATTCCATAATTAGCTCTCTGGTTTTAATTTTATACATAAAATTTTAAGTTATCGGCATTGTAATGTTTACGTTTTTATTTAACAGAATCGGGCGATCGGGCAGATTCGGCCGGAAGGGCGTCGCCATCAATTTCGTGAAGAACGACGACATTCGGATTCTGAGAGACATCGAACAGTACTACAGCACGCAGATAGACGAAATGCCCATGAACGGTAAGACATCATCTTTGTCCTTCTGGGGACAGTTCCCAAATGATGAAAATCTCGTAAAATATCTAGTCATGATTACAAATTATACGCTATCCTGATACTTTTTTTTAGAAAATAATTTACAATACAGCGAAAAAATTATTTTAATTATATTTTTCTTTTTTTCAGTGGCTGATCTTATTTAGAAACCTGCTATTTTGAAATTGTCACCAGTAGCTTTTTTGACTGATCTGTTTTATTTCTCACATTCATAAGAACTGTACATCATATTCTCCATTAATGTAACCACTTTTGTAAATGTATTAAAAGTAAACTTAATTCTCTAAATGGTCACAGTTTGAATGTTGTCTCTGCTCTGTTTGCCACCACTTGGGCAATGGCCAGAGAAGAGGTGGCACCCGGGCTGGGGGCGTTCCTGACGTGCAGGATGCGTCTTCCCGTCTCGCCGCGTCCGCACTCGAACACGAAGTCGTCCATCAAATTTCCCCGTCCGTCCAACGCCTGGGCTCTGACTCCGGAGGGACCCCTAAAAAACAAAACATTAAATTTGAATCATCTGCTCGGCTCTCCGTTTATATACAAGCTGAAGGTCTAAGTCTACGGGTTTGTAAATATGTAAATACATGAGGATAACATGCAGTGCAGCCAGGTTTTAGTAAATGTAATCTATTACTAAATAACAAACTTATCCTAAAGATAGTTTATTAGATCAGTTCATTCCATAATTTCATGGCTACGATCGAAGAAAAAAAGTCAAAAGGTGCTCCGAAATAATATACAGAGTAATTTAGAAAACTTAACAGATGCAAACATTCACGAAAAAGAAGTCATTTCTGTTATTTTATTGTTTTCCACATAACATCAAAGTTATGAAGTCATGCTTCAAATATTAAGAAATTACCACCCCAAACAAAATCTCCAGTTAAAATGCAATAAAACTTTCAGAGAAAATTAACAATGTAGAAGTGGAAGAAGAAAAAATATCTACATGTAAAATGTTAATAATAATCTTTGTATAGGTTCTGCCCTTTATGCATCCCCACAAAAATATTCGGAGAGCAAGTCGGCCAAGGAACAGTCATCGAGGCCAGCTCATCATCTACACGTATTCCCTGATGGTGGTGGCATTTCATCACGCGGGGAATACCAAACAGTTCCGGTATATCCCGGTAACCGTTGATTGATTTTCACCATTTCTTTTTCTAGAAGCAGCGGAGTAAAAGTTTTGATGCAAAAACAGTGTTCATTTATTATGTTAATCTGGCCAGTAAATTGCACCCCACCTTTTATCTTCCTTAGCAAATGCACTAATTAATTGCCATATTACTTGTCATTACTCATTTAAAATGTATACAATAATCAAATAACAATACGAGTATAGGCCAACGTAAGCAAAATTGCTAGATTGAATTAAAAATATGTTTACATACAATTAAAATAATAATCTATATATCTATATATTTTTATATACAACAAAAAATATTATGTCTGGCTGATGAGGGTCTTGTGTACTGAAACGCATATCAGTAATAAAGTCGCAGTTTGATGTTACCAGTAACAATGTGATAAGTCTCTGTTATCTCTACTCTAGTACTAGAGATACCAGTTTCAACAATTTTCAAGATAAGAACCTCTTTTATAATATTCAAGTAGGTTTATTTTTTTTTTGTAGCTTTGAATTATAACTGATTTGAAAGAATCATTTTAGATTCTTTTGAATAGCTTCATTAATTATAATAGGAACAGTTAATAATAATTACAACCATTTTGGATAATTTAGTGCATATTTTACTGCTAGTAAGTGGGAAGATTTTTCATCAATTGTTTAATAATAAGTTAATTTGTTTCTCGGCCAGAAAATATAATTATCTAAATCACCGCATGGAATGATGGCCAGATAACAGATCTCAGACTTATGTTTATATACAATTAAAATAACAAAGTCTAAGATTCCATTACAAAAGAAAATTTCTCAAAACTAACCTGTTGTAGAACAAATTCACGTAGAAACTGACACTAATTACAATCTACAATTTAAAACACCTAAAACAGTTTTAAAAATCTATATATATGAAAAATCTCAAATGGGTCAGTCTGTAAATATTATTTCCACCCACACTGCACATTACTATGAGGATTGCATTATAAACAGGCCTAAATATAAATAAGTTCCATTACAAACATGTTAATTATACATTACCAATTTAAAAAAAAACACCTATAATATGTAAAAAGAAAATTTCTCGTTAATAGTGATTGCCATTACAATTCACATTATGGTATCGCGCAATTATTATTACCCTACCCCCTATTGGGTAAAAATGACGACTGGGATTTACATGTTTTCGAAACCGTGTTTTGCGAATATATTGGACTTCGAACTCACATTTCAGTTATAAATAAACACTTGGCTTTATTTCCATCATTTTAGTTGATACGTGACAACAGCACGTTTCAGGCATAAAACCCCTCATCAGTCAACTAAAAAATATATATACAATTTTTAAAACATTATATAAAATATTTTATAAAACAGAATTAGAATAACATGTTTCTTACCATATTCATTTTTAATCTGTTATACATACAAGGTCTTAATTGGCGTACACAACTTATTTTACAATAAGTGGAGTAATTTCATTAAAAATTTTTTATATGTGATTTTCTTATATATTTTTGACAGTATCCAGGGTTCATAGACATAATTATGTACATATCTTAAAATAGAAATAGACGTTTTTTACATTATTCCTTTGTAACGGTACCTGCGTTACATACTGCACTGCAGTGTTGTACTGATTTGCATATTACAAAGACAGTTATTATTAATATTAACAATAGGGTAACTTTTATAAATAATTACATCAATATTAATTTGTATTATGTATATTATAATATTTTCATCCAGTTCTCATTTATTTTTACACTTAAATTTTTGTTGATACAATTTTTGGCTTTTAAAATTGAGACACTTTCTTTAAATCTTCTATTATACATGTTTTTCTCTTTATATAGGATTTTAACATTATTTTTATCTATGTTACAGTTATTTATTAAACAATGGTCATGAAAAACGGAGTTTAGACGATTATATTTGAGATCAACTATATGTTCTTTTACACGTATACTCAGTTTGCGTTTAGTTTCTCCTATATAGTAGTTAGTTGTATTACAGGTACATGGTATCTTATACACAACATTCTTTGTTTCTTGTTCTTTATTATCTACTTTATTAGGTTTTGCCAGTCTTATTCTATTTTCTAATTTTTCATATTTCGGGGCTAGTTTTGCATTTATTTTCTGTAAGTCTTACGTGTTGATATTCTCATATAGTCCTTTTATATATGGAAAACATATATTTTGTATCTATATTTGGCTTTTTTGATTTTTTTATTATTCATTTTACTATTTATCTTGTTTTCCCAGCAATCTATCAAACTATTAGGATATCCATTGAGAACAAATTTCTTTTTTAATTCTTTTATGTAAACATTTATATCTGTAAGATTGCTAGTTCTTGTCTTAATTTTTACATATTCCATTTTAAAATTGTTATATTTTATATATGAAGGAATATTAGAGTCATATCAAATTGTTACATCTATAGAGCATGGTTTTTTATAGGGTTTGAATTCTATTTTATGCCCGAAACGTGCTGTTGTCACGTATCAACTAAAATGATGGAAATAAAGCCAAGTGTTTATTTATAACTCAAATGTGAGTTCGAAGTCCAATGGGAATTACATATTGTTCTTCCTTTATTATTTATTCTATATTTTTCATCAACATGTAGTATTCTTAAATGCTTGTAATATTGTCTATTAAATAATTTTCATTTTTTTAATATTTTAATTGATGTTTTATTTATTTTGCAGCCATTCTCGTTGCAATGCATAGCCACTGCCGAGTTATACGATCAATTAAATATGGTTATGTAATATTTTGATAATCTAGTATCCAAAGTTGTTCCAGTTTCTCCTATATAAGTATAACAAGGATCACAATTACAATTAAAAGTATAAGCCACTCCAGTTTTTTACAAAATATCAATCGTATCTGCAGGTTATTTAATTTTAGTTAACATGAAGCATATTGTCATTTTTAAGTCTGGTGTTACTATAATATAAAGTTCAATTTTTTAATTTCTTCAAAACTACCTTGTACATACATTACACTCAACTACAGGTATACCTCGCCTTATGTCAGTAATTGGTTCTAGGAGGACGACTTAAGTCGAAAAACGACGTAAGTCAAATTTACTTGTCTCCGAATCTACTTGCCACTAGGCTAAACCATAAATTACTAATTCCCGTTCTGTATTTTATTTATTAATGCACTTTTAATAATATATGGTTAATAAGGATCTATTTTAGCTTACAAACAAATAAATTTTAGTTTTTAATATAGTACAGAAAAAAGTAATTTAAATTTACGAATGCATGTACTGTAAATACAGTATATACTTCTAAATGTAAATATTATAATATGATTTTATGTGCTTTAAACATTTTTCTAGTGATATTACGACTTCAATATTTGTATCGGACAGACATAAAGTCGAATAAAATGACTTAAACTTAATTATTATTTTTCCATATACTTTCTTGACAAACGACGTATAATCGGGAACGACGTAACTCGAGGTATACCTGTATTTTCTTCTTTGGTTAAAAACTATTTCTGTTAAATCTATTATCTAATATTTGTTAAAACCATAATTATTAGAAAATGTAGTAAAAATGTATCTATTTATTTGTTTTCTGGTCACCTAATTTGGTTGTTCTGTTTATATACATATTACATGTGTTTCATTTTTATATATGTTCGAAAGCTAGCAGTATAATTTACTACAGTAAATTATACTGCTAGCCTTCCAAATAATAAAAAAATGAAATATTTCCAAACGTTATTAGAAATAAAATGCAACGGCAAATGGGAACAGAGAGTCCGAGTATAATCTTTTCACGGGAGTCAGAAAACTTATCGATTCCCAATTCCTTACTTTGCAATAAATTAAAAAAAAAATTTTTTAAACTGTTAATACCATTATTTTTGACGTCTTTAATAATACAAAATGCAGCCCATGTTACTGCACTGCCTCGTACTCACGTTGGTGTCAAATCATTTTCGGTTCTGCGTTTAATCAAACCTTACTTGCGCGCCGACTCGAAAGAGGCCATAACGGAGGCTAGTCTTTTTATGAGAACAGATTCTTCTTAAGCATGTTTCATTCGATCTTTTTAGCGTTAAATTTGTTTACCTCAACATTAATATTAATATATTAATAAAAATGTAATAATTTTATTTATAATAATCCTTTGGTTTTT